AATGAACGTACGGACAGACACACGTAGTGCTCTAGTTGATGTTTAGTACACCACTTCTGGATAAAATTGAGAATTTTCCAGATCAAAACAAAAACAGCAATATTCAAAACGAGAAATCCTACAGTACATTATGATTTTATCATCCCAGCACCTCGTCAATTTGGTCACAATTTAAAATTGCCAGACGTCGACTATAATAATGAGGTATTTTGTGAGAGGGGCCATTTTCTTTTAAAAAAAAAGGGTATTTCTGGGAGTGTTTTGCTGATGATATCCATCGAACCAAGCTAGACTCTATTATTTGGACGTTGGCTGAGCTAGCTAACTATTAGTCCAGGCAAACCGCTTCGATACGTTAGATTATTGTTAGTTAAAACATAATGAATGACTCGTTTGGATGATTTTGCTTTGGCAGACTGGACAAGACAGTTCCTTTAGATTTCGTCTAATAGGAATCATGAAAATACAATTTTATCCAATCACAGGAATGTAGCCATGCTTGGCTACTGATGGAGTGCTTTAAGTACGTGTAAGCGCTGCAGTACTAAAGTAAGTATACCAACTACTGCAACTACGCTCAAGATAATAACAGCTCGTTTCCTGTCTCATCACGGATCCAAGTCTGCTGCAACTTCCAATCGCAGGCGTCGTGAATTCATATGAACCAGCGCGTGGGATCGACATGAAAACTGACAGCCTCAATCGAGCCCAGCAGAGCGGATTGAGGGGTGTCGCACCACGCTTGGCGCACGCAACCACACACAGTAGCTACATGAGGTGGGCGAGGGTTGCTTTTGCGAATGTACCCCACAGCGTCCGAGCGCTTCCAAGCGTCGATCAGGACCAATAAGCTGTCCTTGAATAGTCTTGGTTGAGCGCTAACGTGCGGTCTTTGTAATTATAGAGGGCTTCTAATTCTAGAACACCATCGCTCATTTGACGAAGGTCTTTACTTGTAAGAGGTTTTTATTCATAAACATCCGTTACTACTTGTGTAGGATCACAGACTATGAAGAGGAAGCGGTAAGCCAGTGAATGATACCATTTTCTATTATTGCGAATAAGATAATTGTTTGGTTGCAGACAAGGTGGACAACGATGTGGATCACTGTTTTGCAGGAGTCCTGAAGCAGAACTTATGGCAAAAACAATTCGGCTTCCGTGTCTGGACCGGTGCACGGATATGCCGGGACTCAAGTGTGGCGACAAGAACATTTTTCTAGGGATGGCGGCTGGGTGAGAGGCGCCCGCCTACACATATATGGGATGCCCGTTAGTTTAACTAGGACGGCATCAATATACCCCACTGAAAATTGAAGCCGAGTAGCAACATCGCTGGAGGTGATGGTAAAAGAACATTTAGAGTTAGCCTGTTCGTACTCAATCCGCGTTGTCTCTACTGCCCATAGGCGTGTAACGTGCCTCGCGATCAAAACATTCGAGGAGAAAAACTTGGGCCTTGCATTCGAATGAGGTGCAGGGGCGTTTACATCCCTTGCTTGAGCTCCCCGTGTCTCATTAGCATGGTGAGCCAAAGTTGCAGCTGGTTCTACAGCATTCGTTGAAGTCCATGTTTTGGTTTCTGCAGCACGCGCTGGTCTTTATATTCGAATCAGAGTAGATGTAGGCACACCCTTGAGCCCCGCATAGCTGCTGCGCAATGGTTGACGTGGTGAACATGGCGGCAAAAAAAGCAACAGCGTAAGCCTTCGCGTTCATCTCTGTCGATTCAGGATTCGTGTCAGGGACGAAATAAGTTGAGGAGGCAAATTGAAGAATGAAGCAGTGCCCACTGGGTCGTTGGTTTGAACACTGACTCGCAGTACCGGTATTAGATTCCTAAGCTATGGTGCTTAGCGTACCGTAATCGGAAGGTGCCGTTAACAATTGAGGAGGCTTTCATTCCTCATTAGATATTTTGCAAATCTCCACATGTTTGCATTTCGTGGTCAGAATCCGACAATCTGACTCAGGTTTCTTTCAGTACATAAATAGTGGGGTGTCAATTCTATGTTTTCCCTCGTCGCTCCTTTTCGTCTGATGTGTTGCACTGAGGCTGCGCATACTCTTAATAATACTGAATCAGTGCCATTTACGGTAGGCAGTGGTTTACGTATGCGCAATAACTGACATACAGTTTCCCCATATTATTATTAAAAATGCGAAATACCTTTTTAATGGGATTATAAATTCAAACAACTAAAAGCTTTCGGGACCCAGAAAGATAGGAACGCGTCGATGCATCGTGTTGTCGAGATGGAAAGACGGTCATTTACAAGTAGTACAGTAAGTAGATGACAACAAATCGATGCATCATGTTGTTGTTAGGACTGTTCTACACTAGAGGGTCTGCAATACATTAGGATGCTGCTATATAACAATATTCACAGGGCTGTACGCTTATTCACTCAAAGATG